TATTTAGATTAATATAAGCGACCGGTGGTTTCATAGAAAACTTTTAAAATTGAAGTTTACATCGTTACATATTTATACAATGGTAGCGGAGAATTTCCCTTGAGTAAGTATGATCGTGATTTGACCCATGACTCGAATATTTTGTATGATGAATACGACATCTTAGAAAAGCATTAAATGAACATCTGAAACTTATCCTGAGGTTACTATTCGTCATTTATTTGTCTGGGCGGTCCGTAGGACCTTTGCCCATTAGTCACTGTCTGATGTACGTTAGTCGAATCTGTCAGTCCTGGTTGCCCAGAAACCAGACAAAGTCAGGGAAAAAGAGAAAGGGAAAGAGAAGAAAAAAGGAGAAGAACAAAGAAAAACAGATATGCTTAGTTTAAGAGGAAACACCTAGGCTTTTTGACTTGGTACACGGATTAATTTTGAGGTGAACTAAACAAATTTTTTGATTCGGTTTTGTTAGAGTGCAATTTTGAGTTTACTAAAGATTCACGATAACTTTTGATTACAGTGCGAGCCGTGGCCTTGAATGTTTACGAACTTGCCCCACTGTGTAGTCCAGTCAGTCACGCAACAGAGGCTTGCTGTGCGATTCCGCTTGACTATAGCGTCGCTGCGCCTGAAGCTTGACATAATCCCTCAAGTAAGGAATATCAAGGTCTCTGTGTAGTGTCTCATTTGAGACATACCATGGAGCGTTGCAAATTGTCCGCAAAGTTCTGCTTTGCAGTACTTGAAGACTTTGCATGTGTGACTTGGCAAGAAAACACCAAGCCGCACATGCATACGTAATGGCTGGTCTTATAATCATTTTATATAGTCGAACTTTGTTTATCAAACTTAATTTGGAGAATCTACATAACAAAGGATATACTATAGTTGCCGAAACGAGATTTGGAATTTTGTTTTTATGGATGCTGTATGTTTTTGCCAGGTCATGCCTTTATCAAGGGTGACACCGAGATACTTGGCAGAATTTGTCCATGGTACACGATTTCCGTCTACAGAAACCTCTGCTGGGCGGCCGCGACGTTTTTTGGTACAATAAATAGCCTGCGTTTTCGAATGATTAATTCCGTCCACTCTAGAACTTCGTCCACCGCATTCTGCAACCCATCGTGAACCAGATCACCAGTACACGACTGGGCGACAAGTGCAGTGTCGTCAGCATAGAGGTAGACTTCACAGTTGCTGGGGGAAGGGACATCATGGATGAAAAGCGAATAAAGAATTGGTCCTAGGACCGAACCCTGAGGAACTCCGGCCCGTACTGGCCGTGATGTTGACAAAACATTGTTAATTTTGATCCGAAACTTCCTTCCTTCAAGAAAGGATTTCAGTAATTTTAGAAGCCAAAAGGGAAAACCCTTTTGGATTAGTTTATAGAGGAGGCCCGCGTGCCACACCTTGTCAAAGGCTTTTGAGACATCCAAAAGCAAGATGCCAGTACTCATGCTGAGGGTGAACCCTCTGGTTACATGCTCCACCAGCCTGACTGCCTGTAGCTCGGTGCTATGCTCGGACCGAAAACCGAATTGGAGGATTCAGTGCCTCCGCTAACGCCGTTGGCTCTAAAATATCTCCTGACGGATCGTACGATGTGGTGTTCCTCGTCGAGGTCATTATCGAGATCATAGTTGGGAGAGAACTGTTTTTCCATGGCATCAGCGAAAACCTCGACCTTATCCTCCGTTCTGACTATGCCTTCAGGACCGTGGATGTGTGGGAGTTGTTCTCGCTTTCCGTTTCTGAGTGACTTTGCGACCCTCCAGAGAGGAATATTTGAATCAAGCATTCCCGCCAGAAAGTCGCTCCATTGCTCGTTGCGGAGTTCGTGCAGTGCGTTTCTCACTTCATGGACAAGATTTGTAGCCCTACGAATTTCATCAGGATGACAAGACCTTTTTGCCTGCTTAATAGCGGCTCTTTTGTCAGAGATTTTCTGACGAATGTCCGCAGGCAAAAAAGGTCTGCCGTGTCGTTGTACAGGAAATACAGCTGCACGCTGTAGAGCTGCTTGAATGAAACTTGTCCACTCCGCTTGAGCGGCATCTATTCCAGACTCATCATGTATAATCGGGATATTGAGAAACTCTCTAAGGAGCAACTTGTATAGGTCCCAATTCCTTGGAGGAGCTGCCTCCTCAGAAGTTTGCTCATTGCCCACATCCAAGACAACAGGTAGATGGTCACTAGAGATATCATACAAGATTCGAGAAGAGTTTTTAGATATCGCGAAATCGATGACATCTGGTGCCTGAAGATGGTTGAATGGATGATGTGTCGGCTCTTCAGTGCTATGTATTAGGTACCCATTTCGCATCACATGGATCCTGAGGTTGTCATGCCGATAATCCCCATCTTTGTTGGCCAATGAAACCACATATATTTGAAATTCTTCTTCAATGTAGTAAACAATGACCTTCTTCCGTGCACAACACTTTTGACAACATTAAGGCTATCTTTTCATTTACTATAGATCTGCTGAGAGCAATAAAAAAATTGATAAAACCGCTATTGCAGAAGACTTTGAAAATGGATAATTTTTCAGAGTCTACTTCAAAAATAAACGGATTCCAATGAAGCTCTCTGATGCAAGATCTTGTAGAGTAAATCACAATTCTTCTAAATTTCCAAAATAATGCACATCATGCTACAAAAAAAGCTGTGTTTTAGTCATACACTCACAGAAATCACTCTCGCAGTAAAATATTTCAAAATCCAAACATAATAATCTTCGTACCGTTTCACTTCATCTAAACTGTTCAATCGTGTAACTAGTGGATTAATTATTACACATAGGTGCAATTCTTATCAATAATATAAATACATTCATTCACATCCAGATGGACGAGTGGCAATACAGAAGCTTTTGAAAATGTGTGTTGAGTAATTACTAATTGAAATTAATTATTCAAATAATGATTAAGCTCATTATTAATTTCGTCCACTCGAACTATCTCTAATCAAAAAAGGTCAATATTTGAACTCACTCTATTGTTTATAAATGGGTTATATTTATCATGGTACATTTTGTAGATTGTTCCAATTGTAACCTGTGAAATATTTCGAATAAAACATTCCCTTGTATCAGGATGTTAATGATCTGGGCTTGAATATGCTCAACTTGTCCATGTAAATATCATCATTCTCTTCAAATATTTCTTCCTCTTATCAAATATACTAAGTGACATACAAATCCGAACACCCAGTTTAAAATGGTTTTATTTTAATAAAAGTTGGTGAATGTATTTATCTTACGCAAAGAGCAAGGGGCACTGGACGCCGCCGTAGAACAACAGACCGTGAAGATCGCCGCCTAAGATTATTGGCCTTAAGGGACCGTTTCTCCACTACCAGGTCCATTGCAAATGAATGGTTTGCAGAACACGGAAGACCTATCGGCATGCGAAGTGTTTACCGACGAATGAGAAGTTTTGGCTTGTTTTCATACCGGCCACACTGGGTCCTCCCTTTAACTCGAGAACACCGACGTAATCGCCTTGAGTGGTGCAGACAACGGTCACTCTGGGATCAGGAATGGAACAGTATTGTCTTTAGTGACGAGTCTCGATTTTGTTTAGGCATGCACGATGGTCGTGACAGGGTTAGAAGGCGACGTGGTGAAAGGAGGAATCCACAGTTTTTTGTTGAAAGACATGTTCATCACACTGTTGGAGTTATGGTTTGGGGTGCTATAGCTTATGGTTCCAGGTCACCTTTAATCTTCATCAGATGTAACATGAACGCGCAGCGTTATATCCACGAAGTTCTAGAACCCCATCTTTTACCCTATCTTGACACCCTGGCAGATCCAACTTTCCAACAAGATAGTGCCCGACCACATGTTGCAAGAGTCACAATAGACTTCTTTCAACATAATGATGTCACATTGCTACCATGACCACCAAGATCTCCCGACTTATCCCCAATTGAGCACGTGTGGGATAAGATGGGTAGGAGATTGATCAATTTGCAACGTCCTCCTCAGACTCTAGAAGCACTTCGAGAGGAGTTGGTGGTTGCATGGAATGAGATACCACAGGAGGACATTGACCACCTGATCAGAAGCATGCCTAGGCGCGTTGGAGAATGCGTAGCACATCAGGATGCGTCCACACATTATTAAAGGTCAAAGGGCTTTAAAGCAGTGCAATCATTTTGAAATTTTTATCATTTACTTATTATGCTTCATTAAGTACTTTTATTAAAATAAAACCATTTAAACTGGGTGTTCGGATTTATATGTCACTTAGTATATTTCTACCATAGATGCCAGGTGGGTGGCTGACTTCCTATCCATTGTATTTAACGGGTTCTCCTCTTCATTCCACAATGCCGATGCGTACCCCAAGGATCAGAATAGCCTCCGACATTGTTACTATTACATATCAACCACCTCATATTCTTTACGCTTAATCTATGTCAAATTGCTGTGTATGTGCGCATCTCAAATAGACTTGTGTTTCATATTATGATACTTGATTCAGATCCTAGAAAGCTTTTGGGTCTTTTCATCCAAATCAATTTCCATAGGCCAAAACTAATTTCTAATGACTTGGTGACACTCAAAAATTCACTGTAGTGAGAACACTGCACGTATTGTTGTGAAACTTTGAATTTAAGTTTACTAAAGAGTGAGGTTAAGATCCATTACTGATGTTCGATCCGCGCTGCCTACTATGTTTCTAGATGCAAAACTTAAAAGACATCCCTCGTATCATTGCAAAATTCTCGTTAAGCTTTCAAATTGCTTCAAAACTCCTCTTATTCATCAGATTTGACACCTTTCAACTTCCATTTTTAGCACGCTTTAAGTCTAAGTGAAGAAGTCTTCACAACCGTAGGGGGTTATTTTGAAGGGCTACAAGAGAATTACGTCAAAGACGGTATAATTCAAATAGGAAATAGCTTGAAAAATGTATTAACTTTTTCAGCTCGTAATGCCGCTTGACCTTATATAGTCATAAACAAAAAGTATCTTAGCTTACCGCTTCGGTATGTACTGGGTGGACAGCAAAAAGGAGGCCAGCAAGTGCCGCAAATTGCGGCCTCATATCCGCCACTCTCAAACAAGTTCTTGCAAACAAACTGCTCGCGGCTGCATGTAGGAGCACATTGCCTAGATGAAACCAGAAGGGTTGTAGACCAAACATCGCATACGTCGCCCTGTAACAAAGACATGCAATGATAGAAGGCTTTGTGAAAAAGCTGTTAAAAGATCAGGGTCTACTATTGCCAGATCGCAGGCTACGTGGCCAGCCTCATCACTTAATTTACAGACCTCGTACTTTATGTTCATTATGATTTTTCTTCTCATTTTAGTACTTGATTGTAGTCCAAAATTCACAATTTTGATGTTACGAATGCGTGAATTTTGGACAACAACCCCGAAGTTGCGAAGCTTGGATTTCCAAAGAACATCAAATATCAAAATGAAGGTAACATGTTAATGAATTTTCAAAATATATACGTCATAACCCTTCCCATATGATATACAACAGTTGCAACCCTTAAATGAAATTGTTCGACAAAACATAGTTCTTTGATACAATCTCTCAATTATTCCAGATTATCAAGTAAAACAATCTAGTAGAAAATACTTGGGAAGTAATCTACCATTTTTACCTCCGTATGCTAAACTACCACCGTGTTTATGTAGCTGAGCAAATGTTTTATAGTTGCCTGGGATGCTAAGCCCGCCAAAGTTACAACCGTGGTGGCCGTAGAGAGAACGCAATTTCGTGCGGATCCAACAGCACTGCAAGTGCATTTAAGCCGCTTTATGGGACTACCAGATTTCGCTTGTATATACACACACATGCTATCCACGGCGATGTGCTGAAATATGGCAAGAACTCCATTGACATGCCCTAACGCCTAACCTGACACGGCCTACATCTAAATATGCTTTTGGATAATGTAGACTCTGGTGGTAAAATCATAAGAATACTTATAATAATAATATACTAAGTGACATATAAATCCGAACACCCAGTTTAAATGGTTTTATTTTAATAAAATTTTGTATAAGTACTTAATGAAACATAATAAGTAAATGATAAAACTGATTGCACTGCTTTAAAGCCCTTTGACCTTTAATAATGTGTGGATGCACCCTGATGTGCTAGGCATTCTCCAACGCGCCTAGGCATGCTTCTGATCAGGTGGTCAATGTCCTCCTGTGGTATCTCATTCCAGGCAACCACCAACTCCTCTCGAAGTGCTTCTAGAGTCTGAGGAGGACGTTGCAAATTGAGCAATCTCCTACCCGTCATATCCCACACGTGCTCAATTGGGGATAAGTCGGGAGATCTTGGTGGCCATAGTAACAATGTGACATCATTATGTTGAAAGAAGTCTATTGTGACTCTTGCAACATGTGGTCGGGCATTATCTTGTTGGAAAGTTGGATCTGCCAGGGTGTCAAGATAGGGTAAAAGATGGGGTTCTAGAACTTCGTGGATATAACGCTGCGCGTTCATGTTACCTCTGATGAATATTAAAAGTGACCTGGAACCATAAGCTATAGCACTCCAAACCATAACTCCAACAGTGTGATGAACATGTCTTTCAACAAAAAACTGTGGATTCCTCCTTTCACCACGTCGCCTTCTAACCCTGGCACGACCATCGTGCATATCTAGACAAAATCGAGACTCGTCACTAAAGACAATACTGTTCCATTCCTGATCCCAGAGTGGACCGTTGTCTGCACCACTCAAGGCGATTACGTCGGTGTTCTCGAGTTAAAGGGAGGACCCAGTGTGGCCGGTATGAAAACAAGCCAAAACTTCTCATTCGTCGGTAAACACTTCCGTGTTCTGCAAACCATTCATTTGCAATGGACCTGGTTGTGGAGAAACGGTCCCTTAAGGCCAATAATCTTAGGCGGCGATCTTCACGGTCTGTTGTTCTACGGCGGCGTCCAGTGCCCCTTGCTCTTTGCGTACGGCCTTCTCGAAGCCATGCCTGACAACACCTAACCACAGTGTCTACACTTCTTTGCACTCTAACTGCAATTGCCCGAAAAGAAAGTCCAGCTTCCCGAAGTCCCACTATACGGCCCCTATCAAACTCACTAAGTTGACGAAATCGTACAGGTCTCCGTACTCTAGGCATCGTAACCGATCGTAAAGGATGTCAAGAACCAAAATCCGCCAACGTTGATTCTTTACTGCGGCTGAAATATTCATTTTTAGAGCGTTAATGAATTAAAAAAAAGCAGTATAAAAACCGGAATGTCCAACTGATAAGGCTGAAAATTTTTTCACTTGTTATTTACAGTAAGATAAATACATTCACCAACTTTTATTAAAATAAAAAAAATTAAACTGGGTGTTCGGATTTATATGTCACTTAGTATACTAATAGCGAAGGCATAAGAAGTATAGAGTCAATCTATTTGAAACCATCTTTTCCATTACATAACATATATCTCTGAGCTATTGATACATAATTCTGGGACATCCTGTATATGACAAGATCTACACTATTTTCAAAACGGTAGTAGTAAATCAAAAGTGACTGTCTGCGACACTTCCCTACAGTTTGTCGTCTAGACTTCTTAGCGGCAGCTTTCCAGACAGTTGAATTAAGATTTGATTATCAGAAATGTGCTCACTTCATTGTTCAGAAATTATTAGCGACAATAACGCGGACCGCTTCCATTTTGATTACATAGTACGAAAGCTTAAATGAACCGCGCCATCTGTGGAATGCAAGTTAATTTAAATCATTTTTAACCGTCAATAATTCCGTATAATTACATAAATTACATTCACTAATTTTAATGGCGTATTTTCCACTTTGCAAAGCGGAAAGTTAATTTACTCCGCGAAAGAGGACAGTATTTTTATTTAACATCGTTTCTTTTCGCTTTTTCTAAAAGAAGCAATTACGGAAAAGAAAATAGCGTATTATAGTGCTCGCAGAAAAGTTTTCTAGTTATTACATTACAGTTGGGAATTGGTTCTTTCATTGTATGCAGAATACGGTTGCTAAGAATTCTACTGCTTTGGAAATGATGCAGCTTGGGAATCACTTTCTGCATCGGACATTGTAAGCACTTGTGATGTTAATCCCTATCAATATTATGAATGAAAAAGTGTGGATGCTCGTTAATCAAGCTCGGCTGAATGACAGGGGTGTTATGTATCTTGTGTCGCTTTTTTTCATTATATAGATTTTTTGTGACATTATCTATGTTTTGCTACTTTATGAGCACTGATTTTGTAGCTGTATCGCATTCACTGACCGCTCAGTTTTTTTTTTGAAACACGCTCAGACCCGTCAATTTTGTTTTCGAGGGCGACACAAGTTTGGCAAAAAATCACGTCAGCACGTGCAGCCCCCTAAGCGGGGGTGACACCACCCACAAAATCTTAAATGGAAAGGGGGGACGAGTGATACATTATTTTAAAGGTCTTTCAATTCCCTTTATAATGATATAAAATTAATGTACTTCAGTGTGTGTTGATGATTTATGTCTAAATATTGCTGATTTTATATGCATGTATACATGCAGACCTATACACACAATCATCCAGAGGCGATCTTGCTATTCAACCAATTTTGAACTTTCTGTCACATCTTCTCAGTGATATACTCTACAGACTATCTCGGAATTCTGAAACCAACAAAGCATGCTGGGTACCTGACGCAGCTCTCATAGCGAGCAAACTACGTGGACACTAGGAACTACCTAGGCAGCAAGTTGACAGGTTGTCGTTTTTTTTGACATTATATAGGTTTTTTACGTAATACTATACCTCTGCTGAGCTGGATGAAATTTGGTACGGAGATATATTATTGTCTGGAATGGGCTATTATTTATTCCGTGAAATAACTATTATATAATCTATTTTTTATAGTTTCGTCATTGATGTTGCAATGGATTTTAACATGCGACATCGTTGTAGTACGCACTGATAAAGAAAATAAAGTGTTATGAAAGTTTGACATAAACAGAGAATAATCTTTCTTTTTTAAGAGCTCGCACTTTGCGTCTTTGGATTACAGTCAAATAAGAACTAGGCATAGTTCGTTTCAGTGGGAGCGACCTATTGAACTAGTTCACCGAAGAATGCACATTACTACTTTATTTACACAAACGGTCTCGCATTTTAAAGTCAATTAACCGTACGTGTTGGTTCATTGTGAGCCCACTTAGAACGCCTCGCAAGAATGCATTTCATACACAGTATGAGTATAGCTTCTTTTATGCGGTAATTCTGGAATCACAGGTGCATCTGCAGCGACGGTGGTGTACGGCTTCAAAAGGTATAGTACAGTACGTAAGGACTAGAAGTAATTATAACTTTCCATAGAAAGTTGTAACCTGGTACGGAGGTAGTTAATAATATATATATATATATATATATATATATATATATATATATGTGAAAATTAAAGCTTCCGACTTTTGTTGGGTACTTCGAAAAAATTTAAGCAGGGATGACTCTTTATACTTTTTTTAATCTCTCTAGCTTTCAATGGTCTTTGCCATCATCATCAGGAGCTGCAACTACATTGATAAAAGTAGCAATAACTGTGTAAAATGAAGTTCAATTAACTTACAGTAGTATGTGAGGATGTTGCTAAATGTTATTTACGTTAAGGATGAGGGAAATACCCAGTAACATTGTGAAAGCTGGATACATGGTACAATGGTCAAAATTATACAAACTACACACAGCTGTATGACAAGAACAAACTAAAAACAGATTAAAAATATTTAAAACGAAAGTTAAGCATTACATCGTGAATCCACTTGATGATTGCACAAAATGGTGGGCATAGAATCATGAGTAAGATGAACCTTTTGACAGATGGCCGAATGTTAGCACTGTCCGTGTAATTTTCACCTAAGTGGTCTAGACGACAATGACCACGTCTCAAGTTATATATATATATATATATATATTTATGTATATACGAGTATAGTTATATATACAGGGTGACTTCGAAGTTGAGTCATTTATTTTAACAGTGAGTAGATCTGATCAAAAGAAATGTTTTTTTCCTTTACCATTTTTCTGGTAAAATTAAAGTAACAAAGTTATAGCCCTTTGGAAGTTTGAGTACCGCCCTGTCTCAATAATAATATCATGTGCTCGTGTTTGGCAACAACGGATA